CTGGCGTGCCCAGGTGTTCCCTCTTCTACGGAGTCGCTATCTGGAGGGCTACGTTGACGGATCCATCCCGTGTCCGCCCCCTCACCACCTGGCGTTCCACACCTGGGTGGCTTAGGATCAGGCCATCCTCTCCGCCATCCAGTCCTCGCTCACCCCGAGCGTCTCATCACTGGTCATCTTCGCCGCTACGTCCCGGGAGGCGTGGGCGGCGCTTCACACCAGTTTTGCCTCTCAGTCCCAGGCGCGTGCTCACTCTATACACACCGAGCTGGGTGAGACGAAGCTTGGTGACCTCAGCATCACCGACTACTTCAACAAGATGCGGGGTCTTGCCGATACGTTGGCCTCAGTTGGTCAGTCGCTGCAGGATGAGGAGTTCACCACCTTCGTGCTTAATGGGCTTGATGATGATTATGACAATCTCATTGAGAATGTTCATGGCCGCGATGACCCGCTTCCACATCGTGAGCTCTATGCACGTCTGCTTGGCCGTGAGCAGCGCATTAAGGCGCGCCGGGTCTCCCCCAGTTTCGCCTCCGCCAATGCCGCAACTCGTGGCAAGCCCCAGCAGTCATCATCTTCAGGAGGCAGACCGGCGCCGCCTTCACAACCGGCCTCGCGGGGCAGTGCTCCGACCATCACGGGTGGTAACCGGCCGGTGGCGTGTTGTTCTTCTTGTGGTGCCCAACAGGCCTGCCAGTTGTGTGGCCTTGAGCGCCACATTGCCTCTTGCTGCCATCGTCGCTACAAGCAAGATTTTCTGGGCCTCGGCAACAATGGCAAAGGGAACGACAAGCAGGTCGCCACCGCCGTGACGAGTCATGATCATGACCGTACTCCGTCTTACTCCGTTGATCCTGCATGGTACATGGACACTGGAGCTACCAACCACCTCACCGGTGAGATGGGTAAGCTCTCTACTCAGGAGCCATATCATGGTCATGATCAGGTGCACACCGCCAGTGGAGCAGGTATGCGCATCTCCCATGTTGGTCAGGCCTCTCTCCTTGCTCACAATTTTCACACATTGCATCTATCTAATGTCCTTCGTGTTTCTTATGCTACGCGTAGTTTGTTGTCCATTCCTCAACTTATTCGTGATAATAATGTCCTTACTGAGTTTCACCCTTTTCGTTTCTTTATCAAGGATCGGGACACGAGGGCCGTTCTACTTAGCGGTCGTCTTCGCCATGGACTGTATGCACTTGATGCGCCGCGCCCACCTTCCATGCCGTCCTCTCCTTAGGTGTTCAGTGGTGTTCGTGTGTCGCCTACACACTGGCATGCGTGCCTTGGTCACCCGGCGGCTCCCATAGTTCGACATGTTTTGCATCGTCATGATCTACCAGTTGTGTCGAATAAAACTGCTGAAACTATTTGTGATGCCTGTCAGCAGGGCAAGAGTCATCAACTTGCTTTTTCAGAGTCTAGTCGTGTTGTGAAACATCCTCTTGAGCTTGTGTTTTCTGATGTATGGGGTCATGCCCAGACATCTCTTAGCGGTCACAATTATTATGTCAGTTTGATTGATGCTTACAGCCGTTTTACTTGGTTATATCTTATTAAGCATAAGTCTGATGTGTTCGATGTCTTCATTCAGTTTCAAGCACATGTTGAGCGTCTTCTTAAGCAGAAAATCATCCATGTCCAATCCGACTGGGGGGGGGGGGTGAATACCACAACCTCAACTCGTTTTTTTAACAAACTTGGGATTTCACACCACGTGTCATGTCCTCATACACATCAGCAGAATGGTACTGCCGAGCGTAAGCATCGTCACCTTGTTGAAGCTGGCCTAACCTTGCTAGCTCATGCCTCCATCCCGTTTTGGTTCTGGAGTGATGCTTTCTCTACAGCTTGTTTTCTCATAAATAGGCTTCCCTCGAGACTTCTGAAAATGCAAACCCCTCTTGAACTTCTGCTTAATGAGAATCCAGACTACACATTCTTCAAAGTGTTCGGGTGTGCATGTTGGCCTCACTTACGTCCATACAACAAGCGCAAGCTAGAGTTTCGGTCTAAGAAGTGCGTTTTTCTCGGGTATAGTTCTCTTCGCAAAGGGTACAAGTGCTTGCATGTTCCTACCAACCGCGTCTACATCTCTCGTGACGTTGTGTTTGATGAAAATGTTTTCCCTTTTCGTGCACTTCCGACTAACTTTACCACTTCTACACCACCGGTGCCTGTGTCCACACCTACGCCTGATCAATTTGTGGATGTTGCATATGCCCCTGCATTGCTTCCTAATCATGCTGCAGGTATTGGACGTGGTGCCCGGCTCGAGCTACTTGATGAACAGGTCACTGATGAGCGTCCTGATCGGGACATGCATGCGCCATGCATGACGGGCGGCACCCACCAACCCATCCCCGTCTCGCCTGTGGAGGCTTCCTTGACTGCCTCGCGGGCGCCGGGCCAGCCTGGCTCCACGCTTGCCCTGTCCGGCCTCACGCTGGCCCCGCGGGCGCTGGGCTAGCCAGCGCCAGCCTCACCTAGCTTGCTGGCCTCGTCAGCACCAGCGGCCTCGCCAGCGCCAGCTTCGCCCGGCTCGCAGGCCTCACCAGCGCCTGCCTTGCGTGGCTCGCCCGAGCCACTGGCGGGTCTCTCGCCCGGGCTGGCTGCTGCTGCCACTGGCCCGGAGGCCCCGTCACCTGCTCCGGCCGGGTCTGCCTTGGCGCTAGGGTCGCCAACCAGACCTGCTCGGTCACCGGTGAGCCCGACTCACCTGACTCGGTGCCGGCCTCGTCAACATCCTCTGCTACACCGACTTTGCCAGTAGAACCTGCTGTCACTCTTCGTCCTCGCACACGGAGCCAGTCCGGTGTCTTCTGTCCGAACGAGCGTACGGATGGGACGGTTGCGTGGCTTGATGCGTGCAAGGCTCACACTGCTGTCGATCCCACTGCAGAGCCTCATCACTTTCAGGCTGCACTGAGTATTCCTCATTGGCGTGATGCAATGGAACAAGAGTTTCAGGCCCTCCAAAAGAATGATACTTGGCGTCTTGTTCCTCCAGTGTGTGGCGTCAACGTCATTGATTCCAAGTGGGTTTTCAAAGTCAAGAGACATGCTGATGGCTCCATTGAACGCTACAAGGCACGGTTAGTTGCCAAGGGCTTCAAACAGAGGTATGGTCTTGATTATGAAGACACTTTCACTCCAGTCATCAAGCCTACTACCATTCGATTACTACTGTCTCTTGCGGTTACTGGCGGATGGTTCCTTCGTCAGCTTGATCTGCAGAACGCTTTTCTACATGGCATTCTGGAGGAGGAGGTTTATATGCGTCAGCCACCTGGTTTTGTTGATCCGACACGACCTCATCATCTCTGTCGTCTGGTTAAGGCACTGTATGGACTCAAACAGGCTCCTTGTGCATGGCATGCTCACCTTGGATCTGTTCTTCGGGCTCTTGGGTTTACTCCATCCACTGCTGATACGTCACTGTTTCTCCTCCAGCGCCCTGAGGTTACGATGTATCTCTTGGTTTATGTTGATGATATCATCCTCATCAGTTCCTCTGCTGCTGCTGCTGATCGCCTTGTGATTGCTCTCTGTGATGATTTTGCTGTCAAGGATTTGGGTGCTCTTCATTTTTTTCCTTGGTCTTGAGGTTTCACGGTCCTCTGCTGGTTTGACTCTCACTCAGAAAAAGTACTCCTTGGACTTGTTGCATCGTACTGGAATGCTCAAATGCAAACATGTTAACACTCCGATGTCTGCCACTGATCGGTTGTCTGCTCTTGATGGTGACTCTCTCTTGTCTGATGATGCTACTGAGTATCGCAGTCTCGTTGGTGGTCTGCAATACCTTACTATTACCAGGCCTGATATCTCCTATGCATTCAACCGTGTCTGTCAGTTTCTGCATGCACCCAGGACGTCTCACTGGTCAGCTGTGAAACGTATTTTGCTCTATGTCAGTCTTACTGCCTCCTATGGTTTGCTTCTTCAGTCTGCACCATCGTATGAGCTCTCGACTTTCTCTGATGCAGATTGGGCTGGTAGTCCGGATGACAGGCGATCCACGGGGGGTTATGCGGTATTTCTGGGTCCTAACTTGATCGCCTGGAATGCTCGCAAGCAAGCAACAGTGTCTCACACTAGTACTGAGGCTGAGTACAAAGTTGTTGCTGATGCGACTACTGAGATCATATGGGTATAGTCTCTGTTGAGAGAGCTGTGTATTCCTCAAGCTCATCCTCCAGTCCCGTGGTGTGACAATATTGGTGCTACATATCTTTCTTCTAACCCGGTGTTTCATGCTAGGACAAAACACATTGAGGTGGATTATCACTTTGTTCGGGACGTGTTGCACAGAAGCTACTCTGTATCAAGTTCATCTCGTCAAAGGATCAACTTGCTGACATCTTCACGAAGGCTCTTCCACAACCACAGTTTGTAGGCTGTAGGCGCAATCTTATCTTGCTTTGTACTTCAGGACATAGTTAAGATTGAGAGAGGGTGTTAGACTGTATATATGTAGCCTCGTTATATCTGTATTGTAACATTGTATTGTACCCCTTGGGTACCTCTATATAATGAGGTAGCCACACCCCGGGTTAGGGGTGTCGAGCAGTTCCCAAATCATATGTCTTACAAGCTCGTCTCCATCAGAAGCACACACAACTGTACAGTAATAATACAAATGAAAACAAGAGCAGCCATCAAACATAACCTTTTGTTACGTCCACACGTACTATATAGTCAAACCAACGTAAATGCAATGAAAAAATACTGTTTACATTGTGTATCGTAACTGTTTATTACATTTGCACGTATAGCCAAACCAACATGAAAGCAAACAAAGACCAACTAGATGCAAACTGCAATAGCAAGATAGTATTAACCATGAGATGTATAAGAAGGGTGCACGCCCCGTCCGATTGAGCTAGGAACCTTGAGAGCCAGCTATATGCATGCATGCATATATATAAGAAACAGCCTGTGTCGACCGATGTAACCATCCCAAAAGTCATGCATGCGGCTCACTGAAAGATCTAGCTTTCATCTGACATAAATGCCTGCTGGTCAGAGCTACTGGTGTCGATGTGTTGATGTCCTGAGGCTGAGGGTACCGAAGTGTTCACCCGGTAGTTAAGGTCAGGCAACGACTCATCACGTTCCAGGACCTCCATTGCTTTCCGAACGGTAGGCCTCTTGGCACCATCAGGAAGAGAACACCAGAGTCCGAGGACAGCCACGCTCTTCATTTGCCTCCTGTCCAAATCGTCGCCGCCATGAAGCCTTCCATCTGTAGCCTCCATGACCTTGCCTCTAATGTACAACTCCCAGACTCGCTCCCTGGACTTCCCTGTGCATACAATGTCTAGCAGAACGATTCCAAAGCTGTAGACATCGGATTTAGGGTAGAACTTGACTTTCCCATCTTTCCTACATTCTGGATCAATATACCCTTCCGTCCCTATCGCGGTTGTCATCAAAGTCATGTTATCCTGGTTGCCGATCCTCGACAACCCGAAGTCAGCAAGCTTGGCATTGAATTTGTTGTCTAGGAGTATGTTGCCTGGTTTGATATCTCTGTGCAGAATGTAAGGTTCGCACTCGTGGTGGAGGTAAACAAGGGCCGAGCCTATGTCTTTCACAATTTGGTACCTAAAAAATAGGCAGACCAACAAATTATTGAATGAGTGGAATGTTAATAACGGTATGTTCCGTAATTTTGTCTACAATATATTTATTTGATTCGCCGCCACATCAGTTTTTTTTATAAGAAAATATAGCCAAAATGTGTATCTTCAGAAAAACATGGTTAACATTTCATAGAAATATTTCCGTCATTTGTATAAAAAAATAGGTATAAGTTTGGATGCCTGACCATGAAAGACCAAAAAGTCTAGTGTCTTTGTCCCTACATGCCTACCAGTATGGTTTGGTACTAATTTTTAGCCTCTATTAACCTGCATCCAAAACTTAGGAAGGAGACATGGACCGTCATTGCATTGGTTGCTTGGATGTTGTGCAAGCACAGGAACGATGTAGTGTTCAATGGAGCGGCAACTTCCACAAGTGATCTCCTCAAGAAGATTGATCTAGAAGGGCAAGACTGGAGGGCGGCAGGGCTGCTATGAGAGGTTGGATCGCTCCCGATTAGAGTAGACCAGTGGGCTAGTACTGAGTCATCAGCATGCCGAACATTGGCTTTCATAGAAGTGGCTAAGTTGTAAAACTGTCTGCCTTTCTAGGCATTTTCTATCTATGATCTTGATACGTCAATCTCTGATGTATCTTGAAAGAAAATTAGCTTCCACTATTCCACATTTTCTCACCCCCGCCACCACCCCCTCAACATTTATATTTGCACCCAATATACTTTTAGGATTTCCCCTAGTATTCCAACATCCAGCCAAATGTTATTGAACTTATTCTTGTCACTGCATTATCATTTATATAACATACAAATGATACAAAAAGATGACGGTGATAAGATTGGCAAGAATTCTACGTTCATTGTTTGGTTGTTTGGTGAAAACATTGGCGAGAATTGTACTTTCATTATTTCATTGTTTGCGAACACATCTATGTGCTAAAGATCAACATTCTAGAAACACAACAGGACTGGAAATACGGGTTTTCTGAATATCTCTCTTCCGGAGAAGTAAGTTTGTTCGAGATCAAAAGAGTGCACATTATTACCTAGAAAGACAACATGTCTGGACATTAGCAACAGCCTGGAAAAGAGATATTCGGACGATTCCATCGGGCCATGCTATGCGCTACTACAGTACCATCACGTGCTACCTCCGTCTTAAAATATAAGGTGCGCTACTCTTTGTTTAACTTGAACTTCTCTAAATTTGATCAAGTTTATAGAGATAACTATTAATATCTACAATATCAAATCAATATCATTAGCTTCATCAAGAAATTATTATCATAGTTTATTTATTTGGTATAGTACTTTGCTATAAACTTGGTCAAAAATAAAATAATTTGACTTTTGAAAAAAATACACCTTATATTTCAAAACCGAGTGAGTACATATGTAACATCTTTTCTTTACGTTAATGTGTCATACTTCTCAGGATAACAGTTGCTCGCATTATTATTATTGTATGTAACTTCTATACATTTATTTGATCTTTTTTTAGGGGAAACACATTTATTTAATCTTAACCATATTATCTAAATCGACAGATTATATATTTTAAGTTTATGTGGTGTGGTTTCTCAGTCTCTTGTTTTAATAATAACTAGCACATATGCCCGTGCATTGCAACGGGAGATAAAATAGTATGCATTTAAAGTTAGAGAGAATTATATGTGCAAGCAAAATCCTGTGTGCACACGAAAAACGAATATTTAGCTTCTTGGTTTCGCCGTGTGTGAAGGATTCAGTCAGCTATTTTTCCATTAATTGATCGAGGGCATCTAAGAGTTTTGTTACGTCACCGTATGCCAGAGAAGTCCCATGAGTTATTCAATCTCCTCTTCCCTTCAATCCTTTCAATCAGGGGATTTTATGGTCTGAAGTTTCTGAATATTCTTGAAAACATGACATTTTTTTAAATCTTGAACTGTTATTAAAAAATTATGTACACTTTCGAAAAATGCGAACAAATATGAAAGGGGACATCTTTTAAAATTTACAAATATTTTCTGAAAACATCAAATTTTTTTATAAAAATATGAACATTTGAATTTGTGACCATTTTTTTAAAACAGGAACATGTGTTGAAAATTCATAAGATTTTTAGAAAATCTGTATCTTTTATACACTAACAATATTTTAAATTTTTAACATTTTACTAAAACATAAATGTTTTTCAAATTTGGAGCATCTTTTGAAATGCCTTTTTTTCTTTTTAGAAATCTTGAACAATTTTTAAAAACAATATTTAGAAAAAATGGCAATTTTTGCAAGTTCCGAATATTTTTCTAAATAGCAACATAATTTTTGAATTCTAAACATTTTTTGTGAATTTCTACTTCACAAAATAAATTCTAAAACAAAAATAAACTTGGATGGGAAAAAAGAGATAGGGAAAGGAGAGTAAATACAGAAGTAAAATAAAGAAAAAAAAGAAAAATGGGCCAGCTCATTATTGGTTGTTCTATGTGAAACTCTGACTATTTGTCGCCCTGTGAGGAAAATAGAAATTTCCCACCTACATGGGCAGAAAAATAAATGGGCTGGCTTCGCTGAGCCATAGCGCGCGGCCCATGTATGAAAATTCTTTTTCTAGTAGACAAGCGCATAATAATTTAGTTCCACCTTGAGTAGAATAAAATAATTTTGGACCATGAACGGATGAATTTTTTTTCGAAACGCACTTTGCTTTATTAGTATAAAAAAAGTAAGTATAGAAAAGATCCTTGCGAAAATATATAATACCAAGACAAAAAAATGCATGATAGATGGTACCTTGTTGGCCATGCTATTACTTGCTCACTCTCGCTTAGGTGGTAGTACAGATTACCGTTCGGCACGAGTTCATAGACCAGGAAGAGCTCGGCATCCTTCTTCTCCCTGCAGCACCAACACATGAAATCGAGCAAGTTCCGATTGTTTTCCCTGCAGCACCAACCTTTCAGTTTCACGAGATTCTTGTGCTTGGCTTCACTAATGGTGTTCATCTCGGCCAAGAAGTCTCCTCCCTTTGTCCCATTCTTGATCTTCTTTACAGCCACCTCGATGTCATCTGCGGATTCCTTCGAGCTCGAGTTTGAAGACGCACAAGATTCCGTGGAGGACGGACCATCGGATTCTCTCGAGGGCGCACCTGATGATGGTACCTTGAAGAAGGTGCCCCTGTAGACTACTCCAAAGGCACCTTGCCCAATAACCCGCTCCTCAGAGAAGTCATCCGTTGCAGCAGCCAGAACACGGTACTCGAGCTGTCTGGCTCCTCCACTTGGAGCCAGAAAGTTTTGACTTGTGCTCCTTGTCCACTTGAAATACGAGATGATGCACCACAACACAAGCAACGCCATAGCTCCTCCAATCAACCATCCAACAACCGCTGCCTTCTTGTCATGATCTGCATGCATGCACCAAAATGACACTGGTGATTATAAAACTAATTAATTCATCGTGTCCATGCCATTATCTCAAGAAATAAAGGTACTCATCCATATTACATGTCGCTCAAACAGATGTACCTAGATGTATTTTAATGCTACATACATCGGTTCGAGCGATAAATAATATTGATTGGAGGGAGTATTATGGTTGATAAATCAGAAAGGAGGGAGTAACACCTTTCCGGGGCGGAGCAAGCGTGGAGTTGAATGACCACGAGAGTAACTGATGCAGCTCCATGCCCGAGCCGGTGGCTGCAGAAAACCCTACGGCAACTTGATCCGGGAGCAAGGTGGTGACCGGATGGGGTAACTGCGTGCTAACCTGAACGGGACGATAGTTATCATTGTCATCAAACCGCAGGTCGGCGATCAGCATCCGGCTAGTGTTGTCAAAGGTGACGGTGGCGGTCATGGAACCGTTGAGGCTGAAGTTGGGCAATCTTGTTGTGTTCACCGAATCCATGACAGAGTTGATGTCGATGCCGATGTGGTCGAAGGTGGTGCTGGGGTCGTAGGAGTTGTTGTAGGTGTCGAACTCCACAGCGATGAACTGGTCTTTGCCGAAGGTGGTCCTCTTGCCGTCGACTTGGGACATGAGGCCGAGGTTGCCCCCACCAGAGGTCGCCGGCATGGTTGATGGGTAATAGGCGAGGAAGAAAGCCATGCCATCACCCTTGTAGTTCATGGTATTGTTGTCCAACATGATGACGAAGGTGAAGCGCGTTTGGAAGCTGGCTACCTCGCCGGTGAGGTTGTCGTAGAACGGCACTCGGTGCGCGTACGACACCCGTCCCACGCAATCTTTCGAGTCCTTCCCGAACGAGTTGCAGGTGAGGTCGACCAGGTTGCCGTGCACAGTTGCGTTGCCCTCGAACTTGAGGTCATCTTGGCGGTAGCTGGATGTGTTGGTGAAGTCGAAGCTGAACGAGAATGGCGGCGGAGCAACTGCGGCAGCAAGAGGACAGTGTAAGCAAGCGAGGAGGAGGAGGAGGAGCTGCGCGGTGCCCATAGCCATTTTACTAGCAAGAGGAAAAGAGAATGAAGATAAATAGTACTTCTAGCTCGACGCTACGCCAACTGACGCCATGTTCGGCCGATCAAGTGGGTCGCATCGCTCTTGCTAAGTCAAAGTCTTCGCTTCAAAAAGTTCGATCGAAAAAAAATGAGAAGGTCATCGCTTATGGGGGTCGTCGCCTCACACCCGGTCAGCTGGTCTGGTGCCCTCTCGCTGTCTCTCTCCCTCCGTAGTACTGATCTAAGGGCATTTCTAACCGATTTATCGGGTTGACTAATTTTTTAGTGGAGTATTTGTACGATCACTGAGTTTTGGCCGGACCTAGCTAATCTGTCCTTTAAATATAATTTTGTATACAACAACAACAACAACAAAGCCTTTATTCCCAAACAAGTTGGTGTAGGCTAGAGGTGAAACCCATAAGGTCTCGCAACCAACTCACGGCTCTGGCACATAGATAGCAAGCTTCCACGCACCCCTGTCCACGCACCTCTAAACTTTGTATACTAGTATAAATTGCAACTACATATTAGCACACATGTAGAAACAAAACATGAATTTGAATGTTCAACAAAATCACGAATATAGTTTACAAACCGAATTATTCAAATTCAAACACGCCGAATGGTTGAAATGTAGCAAATAGCATGTGATAGAATAGCTAGGGCTCGCTAAGACATTGCCAGTGATGCTCAACAAGATCTTGTTGGAGTTGAGCACGAACTTGATGGTTCTTGATCTTGCAATGCTCCTCAAGGAATGCCAAGATCATGTTCGTATCATGCTCTGGCTCAACCAGAGTCCTGTTTGTGACGTGCCGAAAGTTCTCAGGCATATCCCTCTCATCTTCAATGATTATTTTATGCAATATGATGCAACAAGTCATGATCCTTCATAGGACCTTGGAGTTGCAGTACTCGGCAAGGCCAGGAACAATTGTAAAGCGCTTCTGAAGCACACCGAAGGCTCTCTCAACATCTTTCCTAGCAGCTTCTTGACATTGGGCAAAGTGAATGTTTTTGTGACCTTTTGTACTCGGTATTGTTTTGACCAGGTGGCCCATGGTGGATAGATTCCATCCGCCAGGTAGTAACCCATCATGTAGATGTGCCCGTTGACCGAGTAGTTGCAAGCAGGAGCATCGCCTATAATAAGCCTAGAAAACAGCGGTGTCTCGCCGACACATTTAAGTCAATGTGAGAGCCAAGCAAACCAAAGAATAAATGCCATATCCAAAGATCCTTCGATGCAACTACCTCAAGAATGATTGTTGAATCATTGTAGTGGCCTTTGTACTGACCCTTGTACCCTGGAGGACAATTCTTCCATGTCCACTGCATACAGTCAATTGATCAAAGCATTCCTTGCCATCCTCTTGCTTCACTCTTAGTCATCAGCCTCTGGGTGTCTTCCTCGGTTGCTCCTCTCAAGTACTCCAGGCCAAAGACAGTGATCACTGCTTTAGTGAACCTTCAAACAGCCTCCAAGATTGTGTCTTCACCAATTCGAACATAGTCATCGATTGTATCAACCGAACACACATATGCCAAGACTCGCACAGCCGCAATGCGCTTCATCAGAGGGCTTGCACTTATCTCTCCACATGCATTTCTCCAGAGCTTGAACTAGTCATCATATCTCTCAACGGCTTTTGCAGTAGTCAGAAAAAGACTTGTGTGCATCCAAAAGCGCCGGCGAAAGTACTTCTCCGGATGGTTGGCTTTGTGTCAAAAGTAGTCTCTCATGATCTTGGCATGACCCTCCCCTCTATCAAGGTTGATGTGTATGCAGCCACACTGTGATCCTCTCCTCGGCCGCCGAACATCATCATTGAAAATCATGCCTAAAACGGTCTCAAAGTCATCGTCTTCTTCTTCCTCTTCGGATGACGACGAGTCCTCCAAGGCCATCTCCCTCAACCTTTTCATCTACATTTCAAATGGCCAGGTTCAACCCAAACGGCTCTGTTCACGAAGAAATGACCAAAAAAATCACCTAGGCAATTCGTCAAACACTTGCGGTGCGGTGGTGGTGCGCCGGTCGGCCGGTGTCATTCAGAGAAAACAGGCCGGCGGCGATGAGAGAAAATGACCTGCAGCGGTGTGCAAGCAAGGTGAGATGCGGCGCCCGACGAAGAAGCAACGAAGCAATCCAGCGAATCAACAATAGCGACAGCGGCGGCTTATCACCTTG